TTCACACTCATGCCTCTTTTTAAGAACTGTTGTTTGTTTTTACTTTGTTGTTTTCCTTGGGCTTTCAGTGATGTTCTAGTAGGATTTAGAAGCTCCTTTAGTGCAGTAGCTAGAAGGCAGATAGCAAAGCTTTACAACTCCATGGAAACTTCCTCCTAAGGCGTCAGAGAGAGGAGGATGAACTGTGAAGGCATGATGAGAACCGCAGGGCTGGGAGATACACTTCCCCTGCAGTGGCTCTTCCTGATCTTGTCCCTGCTTGCCAACTCCCGCACACCCAGGACTAAACTGGATGCCTCGATTTCCATACGGTGTTAACAAAAGCTGCTGGTTCCCTTTGAAAGGCAGCTCTGAGCAACTGAAACAATGAGGATGTATAATTTTTGATTTTGTTTTCCAAAAGTAGAGAGCACTGTGAAGCAGTGGTTCTAGTACACATGGGCACAAAACTGAAATTGTGGCGTATAGACTATGATCTGGAGACTCAGGGATAGCTTGCTTTCCCCTAACGTCCTTTCATGAAACATTTCCACAAAATATTTTATGATGGGCATACTTAATTCCTTGCTTTATAAATTTATAAAAATTTATAAACTTTATAAATGTAAAGTTTATAATTAAATTGTGTAGTGGTGGATTTGCATATAGTTTTTTTTTCTTTCTGGTAAATGAACAGACATATCTAAATCATCTTTAAAATTTATGAAGAGATTCAAATAATATTTAATGAAGAAATGACTTATCTAAATGGTGAAAACAAGTTTTGAGGGTTTTTTTTCTACATCATTAATTTATGCATTTAATTGGACATGCCCCACATACATATCCAGAACCATCTCCCTAATTGACTGAAGGGCTGGCTGCCCAGGGCCACCATGGTTTCCAGAGGGCAATTGTTTTGTCATTTCTTTGTGTGGCCTGCCTGGAACTTAGCAGTCATAATTATTGTGAATGCTATAGAGACTTAATGTGTGGCGGACCCAGCAGTGACTGAGGAGTCTTTGCCAGGGGTTGAGGAGGAAAATGGCTGTCATTGCTCCCAGCTTACTTTGCCCCCACAAGAAAGTCTCTTACTTAGCAAGAGTAGGAGTCTGGATATTTACCGTGATTTCATTATTTTTTCCTCATGGGTAGAGTTTGATAATATCCCTAACAACCCTTCAATTAAGTATGAAAATTGACTTGATATTCTTAACAAGGGCTGTTTTCTGGAAGTATTTGGGGTTTAATCATAGTTTAGTAAATTTATAGTAATAGCAATCCAAGTAGGTATCTTGGCAATCTCTCTTTGATGGCCGATCTGGATACTAGTTACAATTTATAACAATATCATAATAAAATTCACTCAAAAACTATTAAAAAGAATCTCCATTCAACTTAATATTATTATCAACTGGAGAACATATTGCAGGATTTAATTTGCTAATCATTAAACTTCTTTAAAGAATTGATTTCATGCACCATTAGAATGCATTTGCCATTTATAAAATATTAAACTCACAACACCTGGGAATTATATCTGTTCATTTCTTTTATTATAAAGATTGACCTGAATAAATAAATCTATTATAGGTATATGCTCAACCTGATTAAACTAAAATGACAAACTATTATGGTTTTAATAGCACATGTATTGTACATCTTTTTCTAATGAAGTATATAATTATACAAAATAGAATAAAGGCCATGGTACTGAAACGCCTTCACTGATAGCTAGTTTGCTTACAAATTCTTTAAAAATACACACGTATTGTTTTGGATGCTACTCATAAAGAAAGTTCCACTTATCTTCTGCCGAAATTTCTGCCAAGAAAGATGGATACATGTGGAATTCCTATCAGTAGGAGAGCCGCTGGTTATGTTTTGGGAACTAGTTTGTTTTGTTGCTGTTTTATAAATTATTGTTGATAATATCTTGCTATGAATATATACAAATTTACTAAAATTGATGTGGTTTATGAAAAATGCAGACATATAGAGAAATTCACATATAAATACATGTTTTCTTATGGGCTTGTGGGTTTTTTTTAGCTTCTGTACTCTGTTTTCAGTGTTTTGTCTAGAAATCAGAGCTCATCAAAAAATAAATGATGTCTTGTTTGCTTATATGTTTTGGTTTGAGTGGGGTTTTGTTTTTGTTGTTTGCTTGTTTGTTTTTGAGTCAGAAACTTGCTTTGTGACTCAAGTGTCCTAGATACAATCTGTGCAGCTTTGGTTGGCCTAAACTCATTGTGTTTCTGCCTCAGACTTCTCAGTGATGGAGTCACAGGCTTGCAGTGCAGTCAGATTTTATTTGGGCAGCCAGATCACAAATAATGACACAATACTTCTTATTAATTATCAAAGCTCAGCCTATGGCTTAGGCTTGTTGCTAACTAGCTCTTATATAAATCAACCCATTTCTATTACTCTATGCTCTATCATGTGGCGTTACCTCTCTTCCATCTTGCACCTCCTGTTTTTTCTCTTGTCTCCTGGTATCTTCTGCATGCGCACCTTGATTCCTCCTATACCTCCTGCTTAGCTATAGGTTATTGCGCATTTTATTACACCAATCATAGCAAATACGTCTTCACACATTGTGCAAATATCCCACAACAATGCACCACCCTGCTTGGCTCAGAAACGATGTCCTAATTAGTGGTGAAGATGGTAAAAATTTGGTGAACACCATTTTGTTATATTTTGACATAAGAGGATGGTACTTATGCAACCCCTGATTGTTTTTTGTTTTATTTTTTATATTTTTGTTTTATTCTTTGATAGTTTCATATGCATATATAATGAATTTTAGTTGTTTTCAATTCCGATGCCCTCTTTCATCCCTTTCCCTTCTCCCATTGAAACTTTTCCAAAAAGTCTCTTGCATTTTCATGTGTGTGTGTGCGCATGTGTTCATGTGTGTGCACGTGTATATATGTGTGCATGTGCGTGTGCATGGGCATAAAGTTTAATATGGTTGACACATGAGCATGGGTTGGGGTTATTTATTGATGCATAACATTATCAGTGTTATACCATTAGAGAAAAATGGTACTACTTCCCTAAGCAACCATTAACTGCCAATAACCACTAGTGGAGGGATGGGACCTCAAGATCTCCTCTCACCCATGGTAAAATGAGGAATGGCCAAGTCTTGTTCAGGTCTTGTTCAGGTAACCATAGTGGCAGTGAGTTCCCGAGTACAATGTCTATGTCATATCTTTTACCATTTACATTTTTATTTGTTACAGAATCACATATGTAACGACTATATTTATATCATTTTAAACACTCCCTTAATTCCTCTCTAAAGCCTCCCTGCTCCACTCTGACCCAAACACACAGGAATAAGGGTCCTGAACTGTGAGGTATTGACGGGGAGGATCAGGGATGAGAATTAAGATGGAAAGCTGGAATCAAGAGGTCTGCATGAACAGAGGACTCCTACCTGAAAGCCTAGGAAGAAGTACAGCATCTTCCTCCTCACTGTCTGCAGGGCGAATGGGACAGAGTCAGCAGAAAGCTACCGCACCATAAGCGTGGAGCCAGCAGGAAACTAATCAAGCAATATTGCACAAAGGGATCATAGGATTTCTCATGTGTCATTGACGAAGCACACAGTGATCTGGGGACTGAGAGCAACAGCCTTTTAGTTGGGGGAAGAGTCAGGTTCCTAGGTACCAAAAACCTTAATTCTTTCAAGGCCCTGGCCCTGGCTCCATACTACAACTTGTCAAGTATATTCCTGGGCAGGAGCGCAGAACTAGTGTTCCCTTTGTCCTTTCATCTGGGCCACCGAGAAAGCTTTGGATTGTCTAGTCCTCAACAACACTCCCTCTCAAACTTATGATTCTTTTATAGTTGTTCTTGGTTTACACCCACCGACGCATACACACACAGAATTCACTTAGTGTTGCTCATTTGTACATGTTTTTATGGTTGACCATAGAATTATATTACCTATCAGCGGGGCTTGTCCTTGGAGAAGATTGATCTCCCATTTTCAACAGCTATTGATGGCCTATAGTTCTTCATCTAAGGGTGGGACCTTGTGAAATTTCCCCATATGCATTGGCACAAAGACCGGAATTATCATTATGCAGTCAGTTTAGATAGCTATATTGTCGTACATGCCAGCTTTCTTGGCATGCCTACATCAGCTACACTATACAGCAGCATATGTCCTCACCTTCGGGCTTTTATAATTGTTCTGTCCGTCTTCAGGGGTTCCCCAAGCCTTGGGTGTAGGGGTTGTGTTATAGACATACCAAATGAGACAAGGAACTCCATGGTGTGTTTATACATAAACATCTTCCATCCTCCTGCTCTGAAACTCTTTCTGCCTACTCTTCTATGAGGTCCCTTGAGTGTTGGAGGGGTAATATAAAATTAGCTCAACAATTTTACCCTCACTTATTGGATTCTTTGTACTTTTTCACAGTTTTTTTTTTTAGTAAGCATGATTTTTTTTTTGTTAAGGATATGTAATTTTTTTTCAATTTTTTTTTTTTTACCATAGCATCTACAATAGAGTAGTAGAAATCTTAAAAACAAGGTTGACTGACATTTTGAGAGCTCCTTGGAGAGGGGGAGTCCATTTCCTTTAATGGTGTGATTGCTGGTAGGTATATCACATTCAAGAGCAGTGGGGCAGCACAAATTGGCATCGATGGCTTAAAACAAACAAACAAACAACAAAAACAGAAGAAAACTCAAAGGTGGTTTGGAGGGAGGAGTTGGGAAGGGTATGTGTAATTATGATCAAAACAAACCACATGGAATTTTTAAAGAATTATTGATCTTAAAAGGAACATAGTTAACTGCGTGATAAACAGATTTTTTAAATTAATCTCCTTAATTACCAAGATTTGGACTAAAGTAGAGATTGCCTGTACTGTTGTTTCTTGGATTTCATAGGGCATCGAAGACATTTTGCTTCACTGTTAGTGCTCGAAGTCACTTTGGTTTAAGCAGAGCATTTGGGCGTTAACTTTAGGAATTTGTGTGTCCTTGTGCAGCCCCTGTTCTTCCTGGAGCTTACCAGCAGAGTCACTCCCAAGGCTACGGGTACATGCACCAGACCAGCGTGTCATCCATGAGGTCCATGCAGCATTCACCCAACCTAGTAAGTGCTGAAGTCAAATGTTCCTGCTTGGTGACAGAGTGAGGGAGCTGGGCGACAGAGTGCTTGTCTAGAATGTAGGGTTCTGAGCTCAACCCCCAGCATGGGGGAAAAAAAAACCCTGACACATTGGTATCTGGGTAAGTCTTTCAATGGAAACAAAACCATTGCTGAGGTCAAGTGATGAGAAACAATCACACTAACAAACGCTGCATCAAGCAATAAAGCAAATAAGACATCAAGCAGCAGGGCTCCTTTTTATGTTGCTTTGATGTTGTGGTGATGAAACACCATGACCGAAAGCAACTTAGAGAGGAGTGAGTTTATCTGGGCTTGGGCTCCAGAGAGATGAGAGCCCACGCCCAGAACGAAGAGGCATGGTGACCATATCATGAAGTTAATATGTCACATGTCAACTGTAACAACAAAGCAGAAAAGTAATCTGGCACTAGGGCAAGTCTATATTCTTTCAGTGTCAACCCTCGGTGACATATTTTCTCTAGCAAGGACATATGTCTTAAATTTTCTGGGTATGCTCATCATCCAGACCTAAGAAGGTACAGATGTGTCATCATCAGGTTAAAGAGTTAATCTTCATGTTCATCACAATGGCCTCAGAAGTTGAATGGACATAGGCAAAATAGCCAATGGAAGTTAAAATGTTTTGAACACAAAGAAATAGTAAATAGATATCCCAGTTATTCTGACAGCTATAGTATCCAGGTATTGAGATGACATGCTATACCCCCAAATCTGTGCAATTACCATATGCAATTACTACATTTCAATTGAAAGTCTATGAATGACAGTATCCTTCAAACACCCTTATTAGCATTCAGTTGAGGTTCAGAATGATGCTTGCTTTGTGGTCATACTCAGGCTTCATTCTGAAGTTGCATCTCTCAATACTTAGAAGCAGGTGATGTTCTGTAAGGTAGCCAAGTGCTTTCAGGTTCTTTGTGTGCCAGCCACTTTCCTCAGTCTCTTTAATCTATGAATATTTTTGCTTTCGAGATTTACTGACTATAAATATTAGATGAACTATTAGTTTTGAACTAAAACAAAGAGAAAAATACACTTCAAAAAATTTCACTTTAACATGTTCTTTATATGTACATCTAAAATCAGGACATTTCTATAGAAAATTTATGAGACTGTGATCTGAAATATGTAAAGTTTAAGTAAATTATTTCTTTCATATATTCTTAAGAGGGAACAAAACTTTTTAGTACTTATTTTAGAAAAGTTCATTTTCTATACAAGGGGGAGACACTGAGAAAACCAGTGGACTGTAGGCCTGCTGCCAAGTGGGGGAAGGGGGCTAACCTTCTAAAGAACGGGGAAGCGGGAGAAAAATCTACATTTCTAAGGCTTCTGGGACTTTCTGTGTGTGGGACCCAGTGTTACTCTTTCAAAGACTATTTTTAGACAAGCACACTGTTTTAATTATTGTATTTCCTTGTTGTCTTTCAAGGCTGAATTATTGTGTCATCTTTTCAGCTCTTTGCTTTGATCTTAGATCTGTCTTCTCTAGATGAACAAACTTGAGATTTCTAGAATTAGGTGACACACGTGGCTTGCCACTGCCCAGAGGTAGCAACGCCTATCAGCCTTCATACTCATCATGTGTGTGCTGGTTTGTTGGGACTCAGATTTGTACTCGTGACTGCAACACCCGATCACTTCTTCTTTTCTCAGAGGACCTACCGAGCCATGTATGACTACAGTGCCCAGGATGAAGATGAGGTCTCCTTCCGAGATGGTGACTACATTGTCAACGTGCAGCCGATTGATGACGGCTGGATGTATGGCACCGTGCAGAGAACCGGGAGAACGGGCATGCTCCCGGCCAATTATATTGAGTTTGTGAATTAATTCTTCCTCCTCGCCCTTTGAGCTTTATTCTGATGTATTCTAAACCCAATCTTTTTAAAAGATAGAAGATACTTTTCAGATAACTTGGCAATTATTTTCCAATAATGTATCCTTACTTTGACAATTAGACACACAGGTACCAGGAGAAAGGAATGACTTTTGGGCTGGAAACAGCAGCATCCATAGTAATTCCTGTAAACAAAACCATTAGGTCTGGAGACCTGGTGCTGCTAATTGTGTTTGTGGTTTCATTTAGTTGGCTATTCAACCCTTCTGGGAAATGTATTTTTGTAGACTTTAATAGAGATGTTGATTGTCCCTTACATGTAACAAGTGTATGAAACTTCTTAGCTGTCACCTGGAATCATCTGAAGCCAATTCTCATAGTCCAACAACACAGCCAATAATTTAAAAATTGTTCAGCTTTTGAATCATTGGGTAATTTTCAATTCAAGTGAGAATTGCCTAATATAATAAATGGGAACAGTGGCAGAGCAAGTCTGGCTAAAATCATATTGACTGTAGCTTTTGGGAGCCCTTTCCCTAGGCTCACCAGGATCTGGTTATTTCTCATTTGTTTCAGGGTATAGCCTATATTTCTCAGTGTTTCTTGGTATTTCACATGCGTTTCATGGCACAGCCAATCTCCATTTACATTCTGTGGGGGCAGAGCACATCAGGTCCCCAGACTATCAGGACCAGTAACTTCACAGCTACTCTGCAAAAGGCAAAGTTCAATGTCATCTGTATTATTTCCCTTGTAGCCTCTACCCTGTTGCATGTCTAGTGGGCTTAAGCTTCCGTAATGTGGCAGCTGCTTGCCCATCCTTGTTATAAAAGTCAGCTGTGTGACTGTTCTCGCCCTGCCCTTTCTTATAGTTGCCAGCTCATAAGAAAACATTTTGAAAAGTTGCTTGAGACTTTCTTGCTGTATTAAACTCTAGCTTTGAAAGACTCATGCCTGAGGAATCACACATATACTCTAGTAAATAGAAGACTTACGTATTTACTGGATAGCTTTCGCTCACTTAATGCTACCGTTGATTTAAAAGCGCAGTAAACTGGACAGCATTCTGTGTAAGGGGAAATGGAGTCTATAGTATACCAGAGGGAAAACAAAATACAAAGCAGTAAGTAGAAGTTTGCTCCACAATTCGACAATTTGATCTTATATTTTGGCAATTGGTCTTCAGACTCTGGGATGGAAATATAGCCACTAAGTCTGTCTATAAAAAGGATTCCTTTCCCAACCTTGGTTTTCATTTTTTAAATCACATTCAGGATTAGATAAAAAAATCATCAGTGATTTTTTTTTGGTGCAACCAACAGATTATTCACTAAGAAAGAAATAGATGTCTTGTTTTGAGTGAGTGTGCAGGGTTTTTATAAGTCACAGCCCCAAATAGAACCATTACTATTGTATCTTAAATTTGCTCTGCAGTCTACAGTCGAAGTTAGTGGATGTCGAAGTTTATCAAACTCTGTTTTTCTCATAGTGCCTCCTACTGTGACTAGAAGCAGGGTGGCACTTAATTGAGATGTGAAGCAGGAAAAAGCAGTTCCAAAATTGTGAGAAGATACTGGGATTGTGGGACTATCCACGCAATGTGTTCAAGGAAATTAACAAAGCACCCACCAGTGAAAAACATTTGAATGAAATGTTTATGAGCCCAAACTCAAAGCTGATTTATTGAAAACTTTGAAAAGTGAGTTTATACTTTTGAAAATCAGTAGTTTCATTAGATTTGCCTTAAAGAAAAGTTTTATTACAATGAGCTGTGTTTCTGTGATACCGATAGAATGTTGAAAAGAAAAAATAACTGAGATTTTCCTGGAAAGGGTTTTTATAGCTTTGTAAATAAACAGCTGAGCTAATTTTCTGTCATTTGAATAGCCAGTCATGATTAACCTTCCTGTTTTCATGTCTTGAACACACACCTAAAAAACCAAACTGCACCTGCAATAATTTTACAAACATCTTTAAACTAATAGCAAGAGTGATAAGCTGGCTCATTTATGTTATGTGTTTTTATGCTCCCCCAGGCAGACCATTTGTGTGTGTTTGTGATTATTAAAAAGAGTCATTGTTGATTAAAACTTCAGGCTAAATGAAGGGAAGGTATGATTTTTGATAATTGTGTGCAGGAAGCTCAACTGAAGCCGACTTTGAAATGATGCTGGACATCAGCTAGTCCCCACAAAGTAGCAGCTCAATGGCCCATGTTTTTGACACTTATTAATTTCAAAGTCAGATTTGATGAATGTGAAAGTCAGTATATATTTTGGAAATCAGTGTCTTAAATGTTGAGCTTTACGTAATGTTTGCATAGCAAGATATTTCTATTTTAAGTCTTTCTGAATTAAGATCTGATCTGGATTCAATAAGGGGCAGTTATTCTCAATATAGACTGAGGCAGAACCAGACATTGCATGCTCTTGAGGTCATGCATTGATAGTCGTGACACTGTTACCAGCACATGTAAGGATGTTACCCAGCTCATCAGAAAAGAGGAGCCTAGATGTGTCATATCCAGATGCCATCTTTTCCAGCATCATTAGAAAATGCTATATTTTTTTTTAACACACTTTCCACACACCTCCCTCCCCCTTGCAGTTTGGCAGCCAGTATCTCACATGTAACACTGACAGCTAAAAATGAATTTAAAACAAGCCCTTTAGAAATCAAATTAAGGGAAACTAAATGCCAAGCACAGAGAGCATGCACCTGTTCCTAAATGCGGTGGTTTCTCAAGCCTGACAGACGCACAAAAAGATGCTTGAGACACTTCTCAAAGACTCTGAAGACAAATGTATTTGGTTCATATTCCTCTTGAGAAAAGTTTAACAACAGAATATAATGCTTTTGTTGTAAGCTTTTGTAGTAGATTTGAAAAAAACTATTTCTTTTTCTCCAGAGAGCTTACTATTTCTAACCTGTGACAAAATGAATACTTCATGTCCTCATTGTGTTCGTACGTGTGCAGCAGACCCAGTTGGAATTTCGATCTGGTTGTCATTCTTCACAGAGCCCCTGCATCTTCTCATATATCTCAGCCTCCACAGAGCACCCAGGAATGTCTAAGCACAATTTCCCAAGCACCCTGTGTGGGGATGGGTGAGATTAGGACAGTCCCTCTCTCACCAAGGCCCTTTGTTTCAAGATGATGATGTCATTTGGCCAGTTGTACTAAAGTCTTTCATTCCAGATCTTCTCTGTCCTGAGGTTCATAACACTCCAGGAATGCTGGGAAAATCTTTTCCACCAGTGACACACCCAGTGTTCAGGTTCCTCCACCTCTAGTGGAATGCTTTCAGTGAAATGATAAAGAATATAAGTATGATCTTTAATAATGCAGCCCTATATACAGTGGATATAGTTTATACTAATGTTCTAATATAGATATATACAAAATAGGTGCCTTTTTGATTACACTTGTTTATCGTTATGGTCTTGGAAAGGAAACCAAGCAAGTAAGCTTCTGCATATTCTATAACAATATTTTATGATACATGATTGCTATTTTTGTGGTGAGAAGTGGGATGCCCCTAACTGAAAGATGTTACAGGTTGTATTTTCCTTCTTAAGGTTTAGAATTTTAGAAAATACCGACTTCTTCCATTTTCTGAAAAGTTGGGTTTTTTTCTTGTGGATTTATATATAGTGGAGAAATATAAGCATTAAGTTTAAGTTTGGGGTTTAAAATATTTATGGTGAGATAGATTAATTATATTATGAGGCTGAATTCACTGCGTATGATGAGCTTTTTGACTTGATCTTGTTTTACTGTCTCTGATAATCTGAATGTGGCTGCACTGCACTTGTATGGGATAATACAACGTGATGAGAAAGCTTTAGTTGAGTAGGAAGCTATGTAAACTAATTTAAGATGCTAAATGAAAACCTCTCTGCAGGATTCCATGCCCCTTAGGGCCCTTTTCCAGGCAAGTAGCTGTTAATAACTGACGACCGAAAGAGTCAAGACATTGTGGGTATATCCTGTGGTCATCATTCCGGGGCACGAGATGCTAGAATCCTCAGGCTTCCCTGGGTAAATGTCCTTCCCAACTGTCCATGACTCCAGTCTATCGCCAGGACTCCACATGCTTCCTGCATCTGATGGATGGTATCCTGTTTGCATAGCACACACATCACTGTTGTCAATTATTGTTAAAGATGGTTTCCTTTAAAAGAGAGAGAGAAAACTGCAATGCAGCCGCCTTCCTTTGTGTCCATACAATGGATTGCTAAGCATTTTGGAAGTAGCAACAAGTGTGTAACAGGCATGATACTTGTGGAACCGTTGGCTTTTGACCTGTGATAAAAACACAAATTGGAATGGTGTACTTTGGATTCTGTTTGCTTTGAAATATGTACAATTGTGGTTGGTGATTAATTTGTAAAACTGTACTAACTTTGAGAACATAATGATTTTGAAAGAAGCAGTAACTGTTTTTTCATTGGAAGGGGATCACAGAATGATATAAGGTTATTAGTATAATTTGGCTTTTGTTATGCAAATTGTTAACACCAGCTATTAAAATATATTTTAGTAGAAATGCTTTAATTCATGTTTTTTTTCCTCTACACTGTGAATCTTTAAGCCTTGGTGGACCAGAGGCACATTGTGATGTCCAAAGGACTAACCTATGCAAATGAGTTCACATCTTATTGCTGTCAGAGTAAACATGTGCTAAGAAATGATTTCTCCTCATAATGCACAGCAGTATTGAAAGAGCACGGAAGCCTGGCCTCCCACGCATTACACTGTAGCCCCTCACAGTCCCTTCAAGGCCACCAAAACCATTAGCATTTGTGGAAATCAGATTGCTATCAATTGAAACTACTGGAACGACGCCAGGAGGAAAATGACAGACAGGCATCTTGGCTGTGGCTTTCATAGAACTATGTTCTCACATATTCTCTCTTCAGGGTCTTGGTATTCTGTGTCTACTACATGTGTTTGTAAAGGATTTATGATGCATTAATTTCCTATCAACACATTTGGTTTGCTTAAATAAATACAGAATGTAACAAAAGTGTTCGACTGCTTGGTTGTCACCATGGTTTCTTTGGAGCACAGGTCATTGGGTGCAGGTAGTGCACTGTGAGTTCCTCATGATGACTCACATCCAGTCCCATGAAAGCTGTGTGATGGCAAATAGTGCATATTTTTTGAAAAGCCGTGCAGAGTGTTTTTCCAAACTAATACAGTTTTAAGTAATAATAATATGCTTTTTAAACCCACAATCTTTCTGATTTTACACCAAAGTATTGCTGCTGTGCATCCTGTTAGTTAACTTTTTTCAAAACTAAAATCTTCACTGGTCTAGTGTTGGTTTTCGTGTATCTGTAAGATGAAGGGAGTGACTTGGAGGAGGGAAAGAGCACAGATGATACTCTGATTTTTCATCTAGGAATGACTCTTTATTATAGATCGTAATTACTTCCATTCTCATAATGGAAAAGCTAGCTAAGCTCCTATTTTTTACTCTCATCTACATTTCAGTAAATTGGATCTTGGCTTTATTGTTTGCTTTTGTAAATGTCTCTAACATAGTGCTTCCAGACTGTGGACTGATAAACCTTGTAGGTGGAGAAATTTAAAACAGGTCAATCAACAAGCTTTGCAAATGGCATTTGCTCATAGAGTAAACACGTCTACCAAATCTTGAATGTTCTGTTTTTCACATTCTATAAGTATGAATCGATTATCTGTGGTATTATAAATCAAACATACTCGTGTTATTTGAAATTATGAAATAAATAACCCAGGTATCTGTTTACTTGAAGAATTTACTGTCCTTCCTTCCTCCAAGACTTTTTTATTTCATGATTATAATTGCACTTTTTGAAATCTGGGCCACAGAGGAAATGAATAACTGTCCTAGAATAATTTAGGTTTCAAATGAATTATGCTTATAATTTTATTAGTCTAATTTTACAAATTGTGAAGTTAATTGAAATTAACTGAATAATTGAGATGTAGCAGAGTCCTGAATACTTTCCAAAACAAATTTCTACAAAAATATTCAGATATAATATACTGGAAAATAGACAAAAGGAAAATCTTATTACTTTTTTGTAATCTGCTTCTGCTCTACACAAGGAGTTTTGTGATGGCAGAACACTGGATCAAGTCCAAGAGTGAGCTTCAACTTTTTTTCTGTAGTTCTAAGCAGAATTCTTTGGCCTTTGTCTATTGCATTTTTATCTGTGAGCAGTAGAATTGTGATGGAAAGGGGAGAAGGAGAGAATGGGCTCAAAGACTGAAAGTCAATATCAGAACGAGGCTCCAGCTGCTGATTTGGGTTTATACCATGGCATTTTGATCTTTGCAGCTTTTTAATAGTCTAAAATAAAGAAATGGGTGAAATCCGAACATCTGTTCTTTTATTTCAGAAAGGGGGATGTTTCCCCATCCTTACATTAGCTTTGAGATTGCTCTTTCAGTGGACCAGTTTCTGATTCATGATAGCCACACTTTTGGCCTTTTTGCAAGGTAGTTGCTGACCAAAGACACATGTTCCAGATTGGTGCTCATTCCATGTGGATTACCACATTCTTCCCCACGTAAACTCATGTCTCTGTCCACAGTTAATGGACACCATTAGATCGAGGTGACTGGAAGGGCTGCCTAAGAACCTTGTCCATCTATCAGGGTTAAGAGTGGCAATCAGTTTAGGTATCCCAAATATGCCTGATTTTAAACTCTGGTAGACAGAGAAGGTGGCTCCAGGTTATACTATTGAAAACTGTAAGATACAGAAGTCAGGGGGAAGCATAGCTGTGGATGAGTGGAAAGTATGGATGAGGAAAACTACGAAGAGAGGGCAGAAAGTATTGAAGAGGTGATTGCTGTTGGCAGGAGCTGCAGTGTAATGGGGAGAAGTGGATTCTTGCTCATGGTAGTCACTGTTTAGAGAACTGATTCCTGCTACCGAGTCTTTGCCCATGCTCCATTCGATCTACAGGAAGCTAGGCCACTCTGAGTGACCTCCTTTTCCGTTCCCATATATCTGTAGCACTCCAGTGATTCAAACCCTATGTTTCTGTATTGCACAGAAGCTTCATATTCTCTGGGATGAGTTCCAGGTGTGCCTCTCAGCCTCTTCACAGATGTCTGTTAAACAAAGCCTTTACATATGTCCTTTGTCACAGACTAGAGGCTCATATCTGGCAAATGGAGTGATCAGCCAGCACATACTAAATGTTGGTAAGATGTACCTGGTGTCCTCCAAAATGAAACACTAAGTAGCAAATTGACATTATTGTCACCAGTTGAATGTCACATGTATTGGTATTAAATTTTATTGTCTTTCAACTTTTTGTCTTTAAATTTTACTGTGCCTTAACTTTAATTTGTGCTATATTTTAAATATTCTACTGAAAATCAGTAGAATTTTTATTTTTCCTTGTGTTTGTTTGAATCAAAGTCCCCCATCATCCTGCTCATGCATTCTTTCCATTCTCTCTTCCACAAGATGAAGATGGTCTTTGAGACCTGATGGGTTGTGTGAGGTCCTATGTAGACCTTTTCCTCTAAGCATCTTTAGCATCCATGAGTCTCTTCATTCAGTTCCCTTCACTGTACAGAGAAGCCTCTCTGAGTAAGGGTTACAGTAGCATTTGTCTATTGGTATAAACAATTGAGGCTACATTTTGTGCCATGTGGATTTAGTTAACCCTAAGTGGTAAGGTCCCTTTTCAAGTCTGTGACTCTCCAGCCATGAGATTTTGACTGGGTTTACAGTACCATGAATGTATTCCCTTCTATGTAGTGGCCTTAGATTTACTCCAAGAGCAAAAGTAGTTGTTTACCTCCATAACAGCTGTGCCACTATCACTGATTTATAAATGCTTGACAAAATGTAAAACACCTACAGTCAGTTATAGGATTGAAACTGAATTGTTACAGGACATTTATTAAGAAATCATTCTTCCATAACTAAGTGATAGATCTTGATTAAAAGGTGTAATTAAAGCTGGCCGGTTGTGCACATGCCTTCAATTCCAGCACTTGGGAGGCAGAGGCAGGTGGATCTCTGTGAGTTCAAGGCCAGCCTGGTCTACAAAAGCTAGTTCTAGGACAAGTGCCAAAAGGTACAAAGTAACTGTGTCTTGAAAAAAATAAAAACAAACAAACAAAAAGATAATTAAGGGATTAAAAGGGAACAAATTAGCAGTAATGAAATTATTCAGTGTTTACTTCTTCAGAGTTCAGTGTATTCAAAGCACAGACCAAAGGAACTTTCTCTTCCACCATTAAGGTTAGTGTGGGAGTCTGATAGCAAGCAACTAATTACATATCTCTGTAATTCTGACTACTTAACTATAGTTTAAAAAGCCACGAAAGGGAATCCCCGAGTGCTGAGAATTCTTCATGCTGCATAGGGTGAAGTGTGGACTGCAGGGAGGGTTTGGAAAACATAGTGAAGCAGGAGGGTTTGAACTGAGCCCTGAGAGCTGTGTGAAGAGCTGACAGTTGAAGACCTTTGCAGCACTGGACATATGTGGAGATCCAGGCACTAGTGGATAGTAGCAGAGATGTACCTGTCTCCTCTCAAATTTTAAGTAACAGTGGAACATCACTTTCACATTTACATTTTCACATTTAAAAACTGAATCTTTGGTGGAAAGAAGATGCTGTGTGAACTTGTGTGTTCACATACCCTTATCACTCTAATTATGATTTCTTCCATTCCTAAAATACTCAATGCTTGGTTAATTATGCAGATACAGCTTCACAGATGTGGTATACCTTCTTGGTGTAATGAGTTATCACATGGGTTTTCCTGCACTGCCACTACCTCCCCATATCATTTTGGAAAGCGTGTGTTGACCGGACCTTATCTAGTTCTGTCTGCAGTGCAAGCACTGATTGACATGTGCTTCTGCCTTGCGTTAGAGTTCCCTCTTTCAGGAACTGTCATTTCCGTCTAATACACATGAGTGGGGTATGCCGTGTTAAATGGGCAATGCAGGGGGAAATCATTCACAATGCAAGAAAGCTGTTGATGTTTATCTAGACTACCACCTTCCTCTAAGGTAGGTCATAGTCTTTTTTTAAATTCTAGCAAGAATGTAGAATATACATTCTTAGATATATAGATCTCCTTTAAAAGCCTGACAAGGTACTTACATATTATAGGTGTTACAGCTGAAATCATTGACTGACTATATTTGATTCCTTTAATCGATACATGACAACACCTATTGGTATTTACACACATTTCATGCTATGTACATTTTTTCCTTTAGAAAGAACTTTGGACTCCCAATACTGTGGCACATAAAGTAATTTATGGGCCTCTACACCTTTGGTATTTATGGAAAAGTCACTCTAAATTTGAGGTGTCTTGTTTGTGTTGGACAGCAAGTTCCATTTACATTTTTTAGAAATGCTTAATATTGTGGTCATGATTCTCCCCTCCCCCACCTCCTCTCAGATCCTCTCCACCTCCGCACCTCGCTGCACTGAAGTTCAGCTGGGGCAGGGAGGACAGTGATTGCTCATCTACAGAGGCCTTTCTTGTGCAGGGGCTGCGGTGGCACAGCTGCCATCACCAAAGGGAAAGATCCCAGGAAGTCAGCTGCCTTTGATGAGCTGTCCTCAGTGAGGACAGTTAGAGCACTTCTGGTTGCTGCTTAAACATTCAGAGCATAGTTTCAAAGTCACGGTCTCGTTTCCTGACTTTCTAACTTTCCAGCTTTCCTGAAATCACCCAGAATTGTCAGGATACTGACATCTAGTTGGATCATGTTTTCCTGTTCAGGGATCTCATGGCATGCAAATGTGACCAGTCGAGTATCGTGGGATACAGATGGCTTAGTTTGGGTTTTTATTGCAGTGAAGAGACACCATGACCAGGATAACTCTTATAAAGTAAATATTTAATTAGGGCTAGCTTACAGTTTCTGAGGTTCAGGACATTGTCATCATTGCAGGGAGCATGGCAGCGTGCAGACAGAGGAAAAGCTGAGAGTCCTACATCTTGCAGGAGACATTAAGTCACTGACACACTTGGTGGTAT